ATTCCCCTCATTACACTCACATGCCCAGCTCTACGCATTTATACCACACAAATATACGAGCACACGTGCACAAATGCGCATACCGCAGTACACTTCTCTAGTTAGATAAAGTGTATGGAAATTTGTACAGCTACTAACTAATGCACAGGACATACACATACAGAGACACATTCTCTCTCTCTGACCTCCCGTTCTTCTCTCAGGAGATCTGGGAACCCTTCCAGCCTGAGTGACATTGGCAACCGACGCTCCCCTCCTCCATCTCTAGGTAGCCTCCCCCCAACCCACCCATCTTGGGTAGGTGGGTAACTAGGGAAAGGGGGGAACCCTACCCAGGTGAACTGAGTGGGAAGGGGCTGGCGAGGGATCAAAAGGGGTGGGAGAAGCCCAGTGTCTGCCCTGGGGAAGGGGATCCAACAGCCCCAGGGACATTTCCCCCGTCACCAACGTTAATCTTTTATTTCCTTTTCCAAAAAGCCAAGCAGAAGCAAAAGCAGGTGAGTCAAGGAAGGAACCTGGGCTGGGGGGCTCATGGCTTATGGCTCTGGGGACACTTTTCTGGGCAGTCATTTTTAGAGGTGCAGAACAGAGAGGGGAGGGAGCCTGGAACTTCTGAAGCTGTCCCCACACCAACCGGGCATAAGGCAGGCACCAGGGCTATGGTTTTGTCTGACCTTATGTCCATTCTGCAGGCAGAACACGTTCCCCCGTACGACGTGGTGCCCTCCATGCGGCCTGTAGTGCTGGTGGGACCCTCTCTGAAAGGTTATGAGGTGAGAGGAGATCCCTGACCCCAAAGAGTCACCTCTACCAAGCCTGCCACAGGAAGGCCCCAGGGACAGTGGAAAGGAGTGTTCTCCCTCGAGGGTCTGTGTGTGGAGGGGGTGGACTCTGGAGCCATGCATGGGGATACCGCCCCTCTCCAAAAGGGCACTCCGTCAGTTCCATGCTCTCCCCCTTAGGTCACAGACATGATGCAGAAGGCTCTCTTCGACTTCCTCAAACATAGGTTTGATGGCAGGTAAGCTGCCCTGGCCTGGGGTGGCCCGAGAACCGAGGAGAAGATCATGGCCTACTTTCAGATGCCTGTAGCGAGTCTTCCCTAAAGGGAGAGCTAGCGGGAGCTGGGAAGGAGAGCCCTAGGCTTTAGGTGTGGCAGCGAGCTGGGATTCTCCACCCCACCCCAGGATCTCCATCACCCGAGTCACAGCTGACCTCTCACTGGCAAAGCGATCTGTTCTCAACAATCCTGGCAAGAGGACCATCATTGAGCGTTCCTCTGCCCGCTCCAGCATTGGTGAGACGTCCCCATCTCCTGCTTTTCTGCCCACTTGAGTGCTTGTGAGAACCTTCCCCCTCCTTTTTCTCGTCCCCAGCTCCTTGTCTTTCTGCCCAACTCTCTACCTGCCCCAGGATCTGCAAGAAACCACCGCATTCTCCTCAATTCTCCATTCCTCTGCCTGCCCTGGCCTTGATGAATACCCTTTCCCTCCAATTCCTTCCCATCCACCATGTGGGAGCCCTCAAAGCCCTGCTGGAGTGAGCAGTGGGCAGAGCCCTGGTGAGCTCTGTGCTCCCTCCCTCCATAGCTGAAGTACAGAGTGAGATCGAGCGCATATTTGAGCTGGCCAAATCCCTGCAGCTAGTAGTGTTGGATGCTGACACCATCAACCACCCAGCACAGCTGGCCAAGACCTCTCTGGCCCCCATCATCGTCTTTGTCAAAGTGTCCTCACCAAAGGTAAGTCAGCCAGGGTCATGGTGGCCCACAGGGCTGCCCCCTAGAATGTGGCATGACTCTGCTTGGTTCCTGCCTGGGGCACTGAGTTCCCTTTTCCTGCTTCCCTTAACACCATTCTGAGTCATCCTTCCCTGCAACTGATGCCATGTCACCAGTGGGGAACATGCCCAGTTCTTTCCAAGCCCAGCTCTGCCCAGGGCCCTGAGAGACTCCAGGCCTAGCTCTGCCCTTCCCCATCAGGTACTCCAGCGTCTCATCCGCTCCCGGGGGAAGTCACAGATGAAGCACCTGACTGTACAGATGATGGCGTATGATAAGCTGGTTCAGTGCCCGCCGGTGAGTGCCTGGGTCTTCCTGTGCCCACTCCTCCAGGGTTGTGGGAGTGATAGAGATGGGGGGGCGGGCTGCTGCTGAGAGGAACCAACATTCCCCCTTCACCCTCCCTCCCCAGGAGTCATTTGATGTGATTCTGGATGAGAACCAGTTGGAGGATGCCTGTGAGCACCTGGCTGAGTACCTAGAGGTTTACTGGAGGGCCACCCACCACCCAGCCCCCGGCCCTGGACTTCTGGGCCCTCCCAGTGCCATCCCTGGACTCCAGGTAACCATTTCCAGTGGGCACAGATGCTCAAGCTAAGCCAGCCAAAGCACTGCCCCCCCGCCCAGATCATCCCTGGCCTGCAGTTCGGAAGGCCAAAGGATGGTGGAGCTCAGCTGTGCTGTACAGAGCTAGTGCAGATGGGCAAAGGAACTTCCCAATGACAGAGACAGGCTGTCAAAGATTAGCTTTCTAGCGGTCAAGAGAAACACAATCTCCAAACCCTTCTCCCAGTTTGCCTTGAAGGCACAACCTGAATTTTGTGGGAGTCAAAGCTCCAATTTTCTTTGTCTGAAGAGGAAGAATGCTCCAGCGTGTTTCCTCCTTGCACTATTTCCTGTACTGGGGAACTGCAAGCCTGGGGGGAGGAATCCCTCACCCAACCAGAGGCCAAGGTGAGGTCTGTGCTGCCTCACTGAGAGCTGTCGTGTGGCCCCCAGAACCAGCAGTTGCTGGGAGAGCGTGGTGAGGAGCACTCACCCCTCGAGCGGGACAGCTTGATGCCCTCGGATGAGGCCAGCGAGAGCTCCCGCCAAGCCTGGACAGGGTCTTCACAGCGTAGCTCCCGCCACCTGGAGGAGGACTATGCAGATGCCTACCAGGACCTGTACCAGCCCCACCGCCAGCACACCTCGGGGCTGCCCAGCGCTAACGGGCACGACCCCCAAGACCGGCTCCTAGCCCAGGACTCGGAGCACAACCACAATGACCGGAACTGGCAACGCAACCGGCCTTGGCCCAAGGATAGCTACTGACAGCCTCCTGCTACCCTACCCTGGCAGGCACAGGCACAGCTGGCTGGGGGACCCACTCCAGGCAGGGTGGAGTTAGACTGGCATTAGGCTGGCACTAGGCTCAGCCCCCATGACCCTGTGCCCAGCCCCAGCTTCAGGGCTGCCTGTGGTCCCAAGGTTCTGGGAGAAGCAGGGGGCCCCTCACCTCCTGGGCAGTGACCCCCCCTTTAGGCTCCCATTCCAGGTACTAGCTGTGTGTTCTGCACCCCTGGCACCTTCCTCCTCCTGCACAAGAAGCTGCCGCACTGGGCAGTGCCCTCAGGCCAGGATCCCCTTAGCAGGGGCCTTCCCACCAGACTCAGGGAAGGGATGCCCCCTCAAAGTAACAAGAGGGTAGGGGTATGGGCAGCATGGCATGAGGAAGAATAAGGTCCGAGCAGGCACAAGTACTAAGAGTCAAGGGACTCAGGGATTGTGGATTTGGGATCCAAGGGCCTCCACTCACCTCACTGCCACACATTAGGAATGAGACAATCAGAGCCCACCAGGGTGGCATGCCCATCCATTAGCTGGGGTGGGGCATCCACGTACAAGACCAGAGCAGCAGGCTGGCTGGGCTGGGGCCAGAGAACAATCTCAAAGCTCTTAGAGGACAGGGCTCTCCTCACCCTGCCAGGGAGCTTCTTAACATCTGATGGGACCAGGGACCAGAAGCATGGTCAAGCCAAATGGCAGACGGGAGCCAACCCAGATTGGGGGTTTGGGGAAGGAGGGCGGCATGTATAGCAGAGAACTTGTGGAACGGCTTTGGGGGCCTCCTTGCCTTTCTTATTCTTTTGCCCTTGCATCCTGTCATTTCTGTTCTTGTCCCTCATGCCTCCTGGGAGATATAGGCTCCAGACTTTGTTCCCTGACTCACAGCTACTGCTTGTTAGGTTAGGGTTAGATGGGGAGAGATAGGACACAATGGACAGCCCCTAAAGGCCCTGTCTACCCAGCTACTCTTGCCTTATGGCTCTAGTGTGTGACCTACAGAGCATGCTCCACAAGACCCTGCCTCACCTGTCGTCACTAATAAAACACCATTCACAGTCCCTCAGTCTCCTGTTCTGTGTCTGTGGCCCAAGTCTGGAGAAAGTAAAGAAGTATTCTGGCCCCTTCTCCCTCCCAAGACCCACGGAGTGGGAAGGGGAAAGGGCAGAGCTGGGGGAGGCACTGTACTCGCAGGCCCTCACCCCTCATGCCCAGATGTCTGGAGGGAGACATTCAACAGGGGCTTGTTTTGGGAGATGGGGAAGAGGAGATCGCAACTTTACACTGTCCCTGCCTCAAGCCAAAAAGGCCCTGGAAATAGCTGCAACTTGAATTCCATGTACCTTCCCAGCTCTTTCTGAGGGGGAAGGCAGAGCAGGTGAATAAGAGGCACGTGAGGGGAGGACCGAGGCCCTGCATTCCTCTCACCACAACCTAACTCAGTCGGCCTGTGATGCCTCTGGTGCCCACCCCTCCTTCATCCCCTCCCATGAGCAATGGACCCAGCAACTAGGGAAACAAGCACAGTTACTGAGATCAAGTGTCAGGCTATAGCGACAGCATGAAAAAGTGGTTCCAACTGTGCCTCACCTGCCAAAATCCCACAACGGCTTTCCTTTCTTATCCCTGTGCAAAGCTCCCTAGAGCGTGTCAGGCCAGGGCCACAATTATGTGAGGCTAGGGCAGGAGAGGGAAGATGCACGATGGTTCTGCTGCCATGGCTTTTCCATCTCCCGTCAAGTGCCACCTGTGGACTTGGACTACCAGCTGAGACCCTAGGCTCTTCTCTTGATGTGATTGTCTTTCATTCTCCAAGCCAGCCACTGTGCCCAGTGCTGTCCCTCATGTCCTCTGCCAGGGACGACCTAGGAGATGAGTTTAGCTGGAACTAGATACAGCCTGAATATTCATCTATTTATTCTCAGAACATACAAACTTATCTTCTTAGAGAATAGAAAACAGAAATTTCACTCAGTGACTTAAAGATGGACACAGCCAGCTCACCCTGTCCCCACATCTACTAAAAAAAATTCCCTGGGGAGGATGCCTAGAGTGCACAGCACCCCTTGGCCCGGGGCCACGCACAGGTCTAAAGGCTCTCAACATATTTTGTAATCCAAATGGGCAAACAGCTGTCCAAATGACAGTAAGATTCCACGGTCCAAAATCCTCATGGTGCCAGATCTCCTAGGGCATCTGGGGCAATGATGTTGCTGCGGTTTATACAGTTACAGTCAAGTCTGAGCTGGAGAAGGTCCCACATAGGCAGCCAGGTTTTTGTTCAGTCCAGGGGGTAATGCCAACTAGCTGCCCCCATAAACTGGCAAGAGTCCTCGGCCCAGTGCAATCCCAAAGCCCCCCAGAGGGACAGAGATGGGCCAAAATCCGCAGTAACCTGCTTCCCCTGCCTCCTACAAGCATCTTCTTTTGCAGCCCCACACTCAGGCCTCAAGCCCTCAGAGTCTGGGCCAGGGAGTCTGACTGCTTCCTAAGCCCCCATAACCCAGGAGTGGGGACCTGGAAAGGGGGATGTGAGGGCTGTGAAGAACAGGCATCAGGCAGCTTCAGAGCTTGCCCTTGAACCCATGAGAGAGTGCTGTCAGGCAAAGATGGTCTCCTCCCGGCGCTTCTTGGTGAGGATGGTGCCTGGCTTATGTTGGGCATCTGGGTGGTTGGCCAGCTCTGGGGGGCAGGAAGACACCGGGCTTTCCAGGATGGCCTGCTTCAGCTCATAGAACACAGCAGAGTCCTCTTTGGTGAGGAAGGTGATGGCCACGCCACTCTTGCCAGCTCGTCCCGTGCGGCCAATGCGGTGGATGTAATCTGGGGAGTAGGAAGAACATCACTCGCACCAGGCCAGATGCCCTGGTGAGCAGTGCCTAAAGCCTCCGCTTCTAAAGGCGCCCTCCCCACTGCACCTCCAAGGGCAGTAAATATGCCTTGTGCTGCGTGAACCTGAAGCACCCACGGCCCTCTCCACAGTGTCTATCTCCCCATTACTGCTACTGACTGTGGTCATCTTACCACACCAAGACCCAGGGTTCCCTGGCTTCATCCTTCTCCATACCTGAGGCCAGAGTGTGTTATCCCAGGTGCTGGGACAACAAACCCAGGTGAGATAAAGGACAGGAGATCTTCTCACTGGGGCAAGCAACCCCAGACTCAGAGCTGTGGGAGACGGGAGCAGCAGCCTCCTAAGTACATCACCCTGACTTCAAGTGGGACGACATAAGGAGCCTGACTGCCCTGGCTTAGAGCTGTTTTCCCCTGCACTTACCTTCAATATTTTTGGCCATATCATAGTTGACAACCATAGACACATCTTGGATGTCAATACCACGACCAGCCACATCTGTAGCCACCAAAATATCCTTGGCCCCGGCCTTGAGGTTGGACAATGCAAATTCTCGCTGCTCTTGGCCTTTTCCACCGTGCAAGGTACAAGCGTTGTACTGTTGGAAGAGTGGAGAGGTGAAGAAAGAGCAATGGGACCACGAAGACACAGAAGTTAAGAGGGAATGGGGGCAGAGGTAGGGTTGGAGAGAGCAGAAGGGTAGAAGAAAGAGAAAGAAGCAAGAGAAAGAATGAGCACAATTGAAAGTAGAGAGGCCGGGCGCGGTGGCTCACGCCTGTAATCTTAGCTCTCTGGGAGGCCAAGTCAGGCGGATTGTTTGAGCTCAGGAGTTCGAGACCAGCCTGAGCAAGAGCGAGACCCCATCTCTACTAAAAACAGAAAGAAATTAATTGGACAACTAAAAATATATAGAAAAAATTAGCCGGGTATGGTGGCACATGCCTGTAGTCCCAGCTACTCAGGAGGCTGAGGCAGGAGGATCACTTGAGCCCAGGAGTTTGAGGTTGCTGTGAGCTAGGATGACGCCACAGCACTCTAGCCCAGGCAACAGAGTGAGACTCTGTCTCAAAAAAAAAAAAGAAAGTAGAGAGAGAACAGGTGAGCTGAAGAAAGGGGTGAGAGAGAACGGAGTGTAGTGTGGCAGGGATAGACAGAGTAAGGTCAAAGGCAAAGCAGTCAGCGAGATGTGGAGCCAGAGAGATGAGTACTCAAAAAGAATAAGGAAGAGAGACCAGGGTAGAAAGCACGGGTCAAGAAGTTTAAGGAAATTGAAGAGTTCAGTGGCAAAAACACGCCCTTCCCCCCAAGCACCAGTACCAGGAGTAAAGGACACTGTTTATCAACAGTACCTGCCTCTTGATCCCATCATCTCCTCTCCCAAATGTAAACACAAACAGCTCATCCCACTCTATTCCACATCCTCACACTGCCAGGATGTGGGTCCCAAAACCTTTCCCTGGCCCCTGCCCCACCCAAGGCAGCTTTGGCTGGCATTACTGGAATGGACAGGGAATCCTAGCAATTAACCCCGTTCTCCTTATCCCCTCAAACCACCCTTTTCCCTCTGGCCCTGCCTTGTAGAATACTGGAGAGGTTAAAGAATGGGTGAGAATTGAAAGCAGGAGCCCAGGGTGCCCTGACAGTTTCAGAAAGCAGTGCCACAGAGGCCAGATTTTGCTCTCTCCTGCAAAACACACCCCCATCTTCTCCAGGGATTTGGCCAACACATCACAGCCCTTCTTCTGGTTGACAAAAATGATGATGGGTGGATCAAAGCCTTGCTCCAAGATTGCCAGCAGCTTTTTCCTGGGGGGAAGAGGAGAAAAATGAGATGCATAAAACCTCCCACTCCAAGAGAAATGCCCAACTCTGACCTGTGAACATCAATCCAGGTTTTTCAATGCCCACAGCATTCTGTTTAAGGAAACAGAAGCTCTTCAACACGGCAGAGCAATCGCCCTGCAGCCACTGCTTGCGTCAAAAGAAGTTCTCAAAGCCCTTTCTTTCTCCACCCTGTTTCCCTGGCTCAGCTGCCCCATACCTCTTTTCTGACTCTGACATGAGGAAGACCTTCTGTTCCACACGTTCATGGGGCTTGCCTGCAGAGCCAATGTATACCACAGCAGGTCGCCGAAGATAGCTCCTGGCCAGACGCTCCACCGCTGGGGGCATGGTGGCCGTGAACATGACGGTCTATGAAAACAAGAGACTCAGCTCTGTGCCCACAGAGACACAATCACATGCCCACTGTCACCTCAGGCAGCTCAACCCAGACTAAGCAATATAAGATATGCCGTGGTTGTAAGCTTTGATAGCCACCACGTCAGGAATTAAGTGTCCTCTGCCTTCCCATCTTTCCCCAGTACCTGTTCATCACGGCACTTTGCATCTTATGATGACAGGAAGGGTTGAGAGCATTTGCTAGCACCTGTGGTCCAGGTAGTAGCAAGATTCTTTGGAATCATTTTTCTAGGGCTAAGCCAAATGGCTCCACCCCTAGGATTGTCAGAAGACTGTACCTAGGCACATCTCACCATTCTGGAAACATGTAGTCTGGGCCCAGCTAAGACAAGAAGGGTCCAAGAGCAAGTCTGGGAACTTGTCCAACTTTTCCCAACCCAGAGAAGCAGCCTTACTTGGCGGTACTTATGTTTTCCTGACTCAAAGTTAGCCAACATCTTCTCAGGGTCCTCAGCCTCGTCCGTGTCTGGCTTCTGGTTGCTGACAGGCATGTGCTCCAGGATCTTCTGCACATCCGGCTCAAAGCCCATGTCAATCATCCTGTCTGCCTCATCCAGAACCACATAGGTACAGCGGCTCAGCACCAGGTAGCGGTTCTCCAGCACATCAATCAGACGTCCGGGGGTCGCAATCACAATCTGGGAGTACAGTATAACCATAAATGGCCCCAGAAGGTACCTTCTTCTTTTCTCTCCCATGAACTATCCACCCACTTGGACAACAGACCTCCAATACTAATGAATTTGATTAGTTACATAACAACCTCCAGTTATGTTTAGCAGTGAAGGTTCTTGAGAACTGGTATGAAATCACTGCTACCTTGGATTTTCTTAGGAATGCAATGAGGTCTCTGAGTAAGGTCCAGGGGTTAGACAGTGGAGGCCAAAATCAGAAGGAACTTTCTTAGATGGGAGAGAGACAGGAATACTGTGGAGATGGCTGCCTAAAGGGATTATACTGATTCAATTCTGATTATACTGATTATAAGATTCAATTCTTATAGCAGACTTCTCATAAAAAGCTTTCCTCTCCTTTCCTGAGATGAAGGCAATGCACAGAGTCAATGACACAGTCTGGCAGAGCAATTAAGAGCACAAGCTTTGGATATGAACCTCAGTTTTACCCATTGCCAGATGTGTGTGACTTCAGGCAAGTTATTAACCTGAACCTCAGCTTCATCTATAAAAAGGAAATATTACTACCTATTCTCATATGACTGCTGTGAGCTATATGATATATATATTGTGTGGCATAAACGCTGGTACGTAAGTTCTCAATAATAGCACACACATATATAAACCAAGCCCTTTCTTCATTTTGCTGCACATCTATTCCAGAAACTAGAAACAGAGCCCCAAAGCCTTCCCAAACAGCAGGTTGGCTGTTGGCTAAGGAAACAAACCTCACAACCCATGCGCAGCCTGAAGCCCTGGTCTTCTCTGGAGATGCCACCGATGACAGCCACAGTGCGGATGCCTAGTGGCTTCCCAAACTTGATGGTTTCTTCCTCAATCTGCTGAGCCAACTCGCGAGTGGGAGCCAGGATGATGGCATAAGGGCCCTGGTCTGACTCTTCGATCCTGTGGTAAATGGGGCATTCCACAGCTTCGTGAGCTTTGGTTCTTATCCAACCACAAACAGGAGCAAGACAGTCAACTCTCAAGGGGAGCTATGGGAATGTAGAGGGTGGGAGGAAGAGGATGCAATGATCCCATCTAAAAATCAGAAACTCCAGGATAGCAAAGTTCTCCAAGGTGTGATCCTTGCCAGCAAAAAAATCATATACTACTTTGATATGATAATCCAATTATTCCCTAATATCCAACCCAGAATAAAGAAGTGAGCTTCTGATTGTAGACTTAAAAAGAAAACCAAATACTCATTTGCCACTTCCACCTTTCCCACCCAGCCAAACCCACTCCAACTGGTGCCAGCTGATACTACCTGTCAATTTTGGGAAGTGTGGTGATCCAGACCAGCAATGGGATGAGGAAGGCTGCTGTCTTGCCACTGCCAGTCTCAGCCACACCAATGATGTCACGATTCTGTAGCCCAATGGGAATTGCCTGACGCTGGATGGGTGTTGGTTCCTGCAGTGACCCAGAGAAAGAGTAATGGGTACAGGTAGAATTATACTACCTCAGCTACTGATGACTAAGTGGGCACATATGCTAGCACAATGAGAGGACACCAAGTATCGTTCACAGGAATGGGGACCCAAGAAGAAACATAATCACTAAAGGCCAACACTTCTACCAAAAAGTGATAGACAAAGTCACTTTTGGTGCCCACTGGCACAGAAGGCACCAAATAGTCAAGGAACAAAGTTCTCTATTCTCAAACTAAGTTTGTATTCCCTAAAATGCAGGAACATGTCAGGTCTCCTGAGCCAATCTGCCCCTTCTTACCTTGTAGCCACACTTATCAATGACCTCCAAGATGTGTGGGGGCAGAGAAGAGTCTTTCCAGGATCGGATGGGATTGGGGATCTTGCCACCTTTGGTGGTGATGCTGTAGTCCTCACGGAAGATCCGCCAGTCCCTGTCTGTCATCTCATCTAACTTCTTCTGGGACCAATGACGATCATCCCAGCGCTGCTTGGCTTCCTTTTTACGAAGTTTGCGGAGTCTTGCCCTACAGCAGGATGTGAGGAATAAGTGGAATCAGTACCCTCCAACTCCTTTCTGTAAAGACTCTGGGCTCTGCCCAACCACCCCTACCCACGCTCACTCACTCCTCTTGCTCCTTTTCTTCCAGTGTTCGTCTCTTCTCCATTAGGTCTCCATAGAAACGTGACTGCTCTCGTTTCTGCTGCTTTAGGTCAATGCCTGCAATGAAGCCTCGCCCCAACAACTGTACCTGGTGCCGTTCTTTGTACCTGGGATTGAGACAGAGGAAGGAAAAAGAGAAGGAACTGTTACAGCAGTAAGAGCCAAGGGCAGACTACCAATATGTAACAGTTGTCCTTCCTGGTCGGGGTCTTTCCTCACCCAGAGGGCTGGCTGAATACTAGTCTACCTATTTTCCCATCCCAGCTCTCCTTACTTCTACCTCTGTAGTCACCAGCTCTCTCTAGGATTGCCTAATATAAGACTTAGCACTCAGGCTGGAAGCCACTCACAGGGGGTTGTAGTCAATGGATGTGTCCTCAGATGCATCCCACTCAAAGACAAACTTTCGGTCATTGAGATGCCTCGTTCGGCGCCGCTTTTTGATGCCACCGAGGTAACGCTCCTGCCCAGGGAAAGAACACAAAGCACATCAACCTCTAGGCCTGACTATTGCATGCAGACATCAGAATGGCCAAATAACTAAAGCTCATTTTTTTGTATGTGGGAAAGTGAAGACAGAGCCGAGGCCTGCACCTTAATGGCATGCAGTTCCTTGCTCTTATCTTTCTCCTCCCGGATCTTCTGCCGCCCTTCCTCATCCTCATTTCCATTGGTCTCCCGCTCCATTCTCTCCCTGCGTTCCCGACGTTCCCGTTCCTGAGGGTCTTCTGCAGACCAAAGAAAGCAAAGCTGCAGAAGAGCTCAGTGGAAATAAAAAGGAAAGGGAATGGAGGGAATCCAGACAAGGGACACCAAATGAGGACAAAAAAAAAAAGAGGTAGATTTATGACACAAGGGAAATGGAGATCTAACAGAAAAAACCTTCTGTCACGCCTCATCCTTCTCTCTTCTAAACTCCACAGCAAACAGGTTTCTGTATCTCCTGCGTGACACTATAATCCATCCCACCCTTTCCTACCCCATCTAGGGACTATATGGGGTAGAAAAACGAACCCAACATCTTCCTGCCCAAGTCTTGGAACTGTTTCCTTTTCTTCCTCTCTTCTTCAAGCATCCTCTGCCGCTCTTCCACCTCCTGTTGTCGCCGCTTTAGAGCTTCAGCCTCCCGTTCTGCTTTGGAGAGGAACTTGGGCTACAAAGCAGATTGAACTGTAAACAAAGGATCTGGGAGCAGGGTACAGTCACATCATATACGGGGTGAGGGTAGGGAGCCCATACTTACTCAGGCATTAAACTTGCTGAGAAAAACACAAATAGGCCTAGGACCCTGTTATGGGCTGAACTATGTGCCCCCCAAAATTCCTATGTTAAAGCCCTAACCCCTAACACCTCAGAATGTGACTGTATTTGGAGACAGGGCTGTAAAGAGGTGATTAAGTTAAAATGAGGCCATTAGGGTGGGCCCTAACCCAATCTATCTTTGTAAGAAGAGGAGATTTGGACACACAGAGACACCAAGAACACATGTGCACAGAAGGAAGACCATGTGAAGACAGAGGAAGAAAACAGCCAAGGATAGAGGCCTCAGAAGAAACAACCTTACTGACACCTCGATCTCAGACTTCCAGCCTCCAGAACTGTGAGAAAGTAAATTTCTGTTGTTGGAGCCACCCAGTCTGTGATATTTTGTTATGGCAGCCTGAGCAGACTAATACAGACCCCCAAGTTCTTACCTTAGCCTCGGCTTCTTCCTCAGCCTTTTTCTTGGCCAAAAGTTCCTCCAGGGATAATGGCTGGGCCTGAAGATAAAACACAGAACTTCAGTCCATAAAGGCTCTCTCCCTTTAAAGATCAACAAAGCAGGCCTTGAGTTGAAAAGGAAGATGAAACAGTCCTTCCTCTCCTTTACCTTAGGCTTCTTATCACCATGTTCATCCTCTTCATCCTTCTTAGAGTCTCTGTCCTTCCGAGATTTAAAATCTTTTCCTCGGCCAGGAGATAAGCTTTAAGGAAAAGGAACAAGAAAAGCCCATATCGCTGTCTTAGCCCAGCCCCAGGATGAGGTTCAGGCTGAGCCCCAAAAACAAGGTGGAAGTTTTCCCATGACTCAACAGGACTGACCCATGATGATCCACCATGTCCTGAAGCTCCCTTAGCAGGCATGGTCACTCTGCCTGCTCTGAAACCTAATTATGGCCCTGTCTTGGCCCCCTTCTACCCAAATCTCCTTTTCTGAGACTAATCTCCTCTTCTGGCAAGTGAGACTTCACTACTGATGTCAAAAATATTTCCTCCATACAGCAAGTGCATATTGAAAGAAAAATCCTCCTTAACTGTACAATACATAATGAATTTAGCCCACAGGGTCACACCCACAAGCCAAGAAGATACCACTGTACATATCCCCCACCATTTGTCCTTCCTATCAGTCCCAACAATTCTTTCCCCACACCTGCTGTAAGCTTAATATACAAGAGATTTCAAACAACCCCACCAAGTTTCTGTTGTGAATATTCTGTCCTTTGCCTTGAATTCAACCTACACTTTCAGGGACTGATAAGAACTTTGCATAGAAAGTTTCCAGAGGAAAGAGATCAAGGCACTGGGACATTAAGTTATTCCAAAAAATATATGTTGTATATGCTGGATAGGAAACTCAATGATCCAGTAGAGCTAAAGGAATATTTTGTAGCCTAGTAACCTTTCCAAACTAATTTCTAAATTCTAAGAACATTCCATATAAAGTGCCTGGCTATAATAAGGTCTTAACAAATGTCAGTTATTTCAAAAAAATAATTAATTAATTCTAAGAACAAGTTGAGCCTCAAAGGGTTTCGACTTCAACAACTGTCATACTTTCTAAGAAAGATTAGTGCTTTCTAAAAAGGACAGCTCTGCAATAACTACCAACAGGATCAGTTAAGAGAAATTTACTTTCCTACGAAGCTGAGCAGTTCAGATGCAGAGAGGAAGAGATGGGAGTATTCCCCTAAAGTCCACTTTCATTCCCTCCGGTACCTGGATCGTTTACGGTCCTTGTCCCGTCTGTGCCCATCCTTGTCTCGATCTCGGTCCTTCTTATTCCGATCCCGCTCCTTATCCCGTTCTCGTTCTTTGTGCCGTCGTTCTCTGGAAGAGAACAAATTTAAAAAAATCACTTGATATTTCCAGTATCTTGCTTCAGCGCAGCCCTGAGAAGGTTCCCATGTTGTCTTCTCCCCAAAGTAATGTTTTATAAACTGGGGAATGTGTTTCCCAGGAAAGTTACACAGGAATTCTGAGGTCTTACAGATCAGAGGTGTACTACTAAGTATTAACAGCAGTGATAAACCATGGACTGTATGAAGAGATGAACTACCTTCCTTCATCATCTGGACCTTCATCTTACAAGTTCCCTCTTAATCTTTAAGAGCTGGGTCACTGAGGAAAACTTAAAACACCTGCAGGTCCAACTGGGCTAGGGGTAGATCAATGTATGATAAGTAGATGTCTAATACTGGAGGCATCAGAGAAACCAAGAATGAGTAAGTTTCAAATGTACACTCCCTTCCCATGTAACAGACATGCAAAGTTACTTTACCTTTCTGTAGACTTAGAACGGGAACGGGAGCGGGAACGGCTGCCTCCTCGACGCCGATCCCTGGAACGATGCCGCTTCCTATCTTTGGATGGGGAAGACTTCCGGTCCCGGTCTCTATCCCGCTCTCTGTCAGGAGTCCGAGATCGCTTCCTTTCCTCCTTGGAGGGTGATGCATCACGGTCTTTTTTCTCAGCCAGCTCTCCTGCCATCTGTTATGGGTAAGAAGAGTACTTATGTACTCAGTACTCCTCTAGACTGTTTATATATAATTCCTTAATCTCAAAATGACCCTGAGGAAGATATATTAGGATGCCTACTGTATAGATGAGAAAGCTGAAGCTCAGGTATATAAAGTAATGTGCCTGAGGACACACAGGTAGTAAGTGGCAGAGTTACAGGCAGTCTGGCTCCAAAGGCTTGTTGTTACTCACTATACTATACTGTCTCTCTGTGATTCCTTTTTATGTATTCATTTCTAAATATGTACAATGAATATACCATATTTTTTTGTAATTAAACTGCAAAAGAGTATTAAAAGAAGTGTTAGTAAAGCCAGGTGCAGTGGCTCACACCCGTAATCCCAGCACTTTGGGAGGCTGAGGCAGGAGAATCATTGAAGCTAGGAGCTTGAAACTAGCCTGAGCAATACAGCAAGACCTGGAGACCCCATCTCTAAAAAAAAAAATTTTAAATTAGCCGGGTGTGGCTGTGGTCCTAGTGATCCTAATACTTTGTGAGGCTGAGGCAAGAGGATCCCTTGAGCCTAGGAGTTGGAGGCTGCAGTGAGTTATGATCATGCCACTGTACCCTAGCCAGGGCAATCGAGTGAGACCCTTCTCTTAAAAAAAAAAAAGGAGGCCAGAGGCAGTGTTTCACACCTGTAATCCAAACACTTTGGGAGGCTGAGGTGGGGGGACTGCTTGAGGCCAGGAGTTCAAGACTAGCCTGAGCAAGAGCAAGACCCCATCTCTACAAAAAAATAGAAAAAAATTCACTGGGCATGGTGGCACGTGCCTATAATCCCAGCTACTCAGGAGGCTGAGCAGGAGGATTGCTTGAGCCCAGGAGTTAGAGGTACAGTGAGCTATGAGGATGCCACTGCACTCCAGCCCCGGTGACAGAGCAAGACCCAGTAGTAAAAAAAAAAAAAAAAAAAAAAGGAAGTATTAGTGAATAGTGTACCAACTATTTCTAGAAATATCTTATATTCCTTATCTTAGAAGTCTATTAGGCCTGCTCGCTAAGCTCACCAAAATCAGTCAACACACGTACATCTAAGGGAGATAAATTCTCTTGAGCTCATAAAGAAAGTTCAAAGGACTATTATTGTACCACTGCACTCCAACCTTGGAGACAGAGCAAGACCTTGCCTCTTTAAAAAAAAAAAAAGAGAAATGAAAGCAAGCTCAAAAGAGGAAAAAGAAGTTTAAGATTTGGATTATAATCAGCACCACAAGGAAAAAATTAATTTAAATGGAGAAACAAACACACTTTTACTCAGATTAAAAGAAATTCCTGCAAATCTATAATTATTTCAAAATAAAACATTTTTTAAAAGAAATGTACCAAAAACTAGAGGCTGCAGAAGTCCTGACATTCCCTACTCAGATTTTCACAGCCTCGATCATCTATATTACCCAGCCTCATGAAAGGTTTGAGCAGGACGCTGAACACCACTGCCACACTGTCAACTGTGCCTTGGACTAGGAAATCTAATTCAGCCAGGAGCTAAAATGACAGCAACCTATGATCCCTAAGACTTGGGATACATTTCTCAGAACTAATTTTATCCCCAAATGGTTCTGCTGGAATGGTCCCTTATGTTTAGTTTACAACACCCCCTTCCCATGCCATTCCCTGCCATATGTCTTTAAGAAGAAAGAATGTATAAAGTGAGAAAAGAATGAACAAGAAACACTTTCAAAATGTGGTGACAGGCCAGGAGACCTAGCTCATGCCTATAATCCTAGCACTGTGGGAGGCCGAAGTGGAAGGACTGCTTGAGGCCAGGAGTTCAAGACCAGCCTGAGGAAGAGTGAGACTCCATCTCTACGAAAAATAGAATAATTAGGCCGGGCGCAGTGGCTCACACCTGTAATCCTAGCACTCTGGGAGGCCGAGGCGGGCGGATTGTTTGAGCTCAGGAGTTTGAAACCAGCCTGAGCAAGAAGAAATTAGCTGGACAACTAAAAATATATAGAAAAAACTAGCCGGGCATGGTGGCGCATGCCTGTAGTCCCAGCTACTCGGGAGGATGAGGCAGAATGATTGCTTGAGCCCAGGAGTTTGAGGTTGCTGTGAGCTAGGCTGATGCCACAGCACTCTAGCCCGGGCAAAAGAGTGAGACTTTGTCTCAAAAAAAAGAAAAATTAGCTGGGTGTGGTGGCTTGCATCTGTAGTCCCAACTACTTGGGAGGCTGAGGCAGGAAGATCCCTTGAGCCCAGGAGTTTCAGGTTGTAGTGAACTATGACCCTGCTGCACTCTAGCCCACACAACTGAGAGAGACCTTATCTCAAAGAAAAAAAAAGGTGGGGATAACCCATTTCATCTCACGATTACCCCAAGAAATGACTGTCTGTTTTACATCAGTACATCATGCATATGACATAGAAATACTCATATGTCTTCTACTTATAGCCCTAAGAAAACAATCCAAAAGAAAGGTTATTTTTCCTATAAACCATCCTGGACATCATTTATTCCTCCAACAAATACTCATTGAGCACCTGCAATGTGCCAGAAATTACTGTAGTTACTGGAGATACAGCAGTAAACAAAGTCTCTGGTTTCATAAAGCCTAATTCTAGTGTAACAGAGAGAATTTCAAATAGTAATGAACACCAACGAAAAGAATAAAACAGGGTGATAGGATGGGTAGAGGTATGAACGAGAAGATGGCTCGGGGAAGAATTTTTAGTTGACATTTAAGCTAAAACTTAAATGATGGGAAAGAGAGCCATGCAAAGATCAGGGAAATACTTATTAGGTAGAAGGAGCAGCAAGTACTAAGGCACTGGGGCAGGAACTAGCTTAGCGAGTTTGCCAGATTTGTGTGGTTGAGCAGCACAGACCCAGGGTGAAGACTGATTCAAGATGAGTTCAGTGAGGTACGCAGAAGTCAGATCATGAAAATGTGTTACAGGCCAGAGTAAAGGAACTTGGATTTTAACTGCAATGAGGACCTCAGAAGGGCTTTAAACAGGAAGTGGGCCAGATGCAATGCCTCACTCCTGTAATCCTTTGGGAGGTCAAGGCAGGAGGATCACTTGAGGCCAGGAGTTTGAGACCAGCCTGAGCAAATAAGGAGACCTCATCTCCACAAAAAATTTAAAAAATTAGCAGGGCATGGTGGTACACGCCTATAGTCCCAGCGACTCAGGAGGCTGAGGAAGGAGGATGGCTTGAGCCCAGGAGTTTGAGGTTGCAGTGAGTTATCATGATGTCACTGCACTTTAGCCCAGGCAACAGAGCAAAACCTCGTCCTAAAAAATAAATAAACAGGCCAGCCATGGTGGCTTCCACCTGTAATCCCAGTACTTTGGGAGGCAGAGATGGAAGGATCACTTGAGGCCAGGAGCTTGAGACCAGCCTTGGCAACATAGCAAGACCCTGTCTCCACAAAAAATTTTCTAAAATATTAGCTGGGTGTGGTGGTGCATGCCTGTAGTCCCAACTACTCGGGAGGCTGAGGCAGGAGGATCGCTTGAGCCTAGGAGTTCAAGATTGCAGTGAGGTGTGATCACACCACTGCACTCCAGCCTGGGTGACAGAGCAAGACTCTGTCTCTAAAAAGGAAAGAAAGAAACAAACAGGAAGTGATATGATCTAATTTTACATTTTAAAAGAATTACTTTGATGACTTGCAAGAAAATATATAGTAGGGAGGCAAGAGTAAAAACAACCACTCAGAGTCTTTTATAGTAACCTAGGCAAGAGATGACAATGGCTTATTCTAGGAAGGTGGCAACAGAGATGAAAAAAAGTAGATATCTTCAGGTATATTCTGGAGGCAGAGCTGACAATACTTACTGATGAAGGGAGAATGGGAAAGAAGGGACACAAAGACAGCTCCTAAGTTTATGGTTTGAGAAATCTAATAGTTTGTGGCATCATTAGCAAATCAACTGGAGAAGACTGGGGAAGGGAGATTTATTTATTTATTTATTTATATACTTTTTGGAGACAGAGTCTCGCTCTGTTGCCCCGGCTAAAGTACAGCATCATCGTCATAGCTCCCTGCAAGCTCAAACTCCTGGGCTCAAGCAATCCTCCTGCCTCAATGTCCCAAGTAGCTGGAACTACAGGCACACACCACTGCACTCGGCTAATTTTTCTATTTTTAGCAGAGACGGTGCCTCACTCTTGCTCAGGGTGGTCTCAAACTCTTGAGCTCAAGTGATCCTCCCAACTCAGCCTCCCAGAGTGCTAGGATTACAGTCCTGAGCCACCTCGCCTGGCCAGGAAGGGACATTTAAAGGCTAAAGTAACTCCATCTTGGATGCTAATCCATCATGCTGACTTCTGATTAACACCAGTCCTAGGAATGCCTCAGATTACCAGTTTATCTATTGTTCCTTGTGTAAGAGCATGTAGTTACTATAAATCCTGTCCTCAGGTCAATTATCATAAATGCATACTTATCGTAAACCTGCCCTTAAATAAATTCTTACATCTTCCCTCTGAAGCACTTATAACCGTTTGCTATAGTATATAAATTCCAGGTCTGGTGGGGTAACCGCGCAGAAATCCACCTCTCCTGTGGCTGTCCAAGACCACACTTCTGTCCTTCAGTTTCCCAGTAAAATACCCTATACCAACAGACTGGATTTGTGTGCCTCATTCTTTGGCTTCTCAGTTCCTTCTGCATTTGGGGGTTGCTTTGCATATATGGCTCCTTTGTGAAATAGAACAGATTTACAAGGAAATCAAAATTTCATTTTGGCCACATTGAGTGTGAGATGTCAATAAGACAACCAAGTGGAGATTCCAGGAAGGCAGACGGAAATGCAAATCTGGAACTCAGGGGAGAGGGTCTAGAGACAAAAATTTGAGTCACTAATACACAGATGGCTTTTGAAGCCATGGGGCACTAAATGATATTACCTAATTAGGTAGAATAAAGGAAAAAGCAGAAGAGGATTCAGGATCGAGCTCTGGAACATTTTTACAGGAGTTAGGCACAGGATGAGCCAGACAAAAAGCCTGGAAAGCAGCAGCAGCCAGTGGGAAAGGAGAAAGAGAAGTAAAGTATGGCAACACAGAAGCCAAAAATGTGTTTCAAGGAGGGAGTGGTCAACTGTGTTAAGTACCGCTAAAATGGAGAAAGACCAGGGGATAGAGAAGTGACCACTGCATTTGGAAAAAGATTATTGGTGACTTTGATAAGAGCTGGTTCAGTGGCATGAAGGGAGTAGAAGCCTGAGTGGAGTGAGTTTGGAAGAGGATGAGAAGTGAGAATAACAAAAAGGTAAATATAGGCAACTTTTTTTTTCTTTTTTTGAGGCAGAGTCTCACTGTGTTGCCCCGGCTAGAGTGCCGTGGCGTCATCCTACCTCACAGCAACCTCAAACTCCTGGGCTCAGGCAATCCTCTTGCCTCAGCCTCCCGAGTAGCTGGGACTACAGGCATGCGCCACCATGCTCGGCTAATTTTTTCTATATATTTTTAGTTGTCCAATTAATTTCTTTCTATTTTTAGTAGAGACGGGGTCTCGCTCTTGCTCAGGCTGGTTTCGAACTCTTGAACTCAAACAATCCGCCCGCCTCGGCCTCCCAGAGAGCTAGGATTACAGGCATGAGCCACCGCACCCGGCCTAGGCAACTTTTATTACGGGTTATACTCATCACAAGGGCCAAATAACCAGGCTGACTCTGGCCATGTTTTCCAGCAGCCTTCCTCTCAAATCTCCGGATCTTTGAATTCTCAGTTCTTGTAGGATAGGGGCAGATTCTTTTTTTCATTCAATAAAGTATTTATCAAGCATCTACTATATGCAAGGCACAGTGCTGGTGCTATGTGAGTTACAAAAGGAAGCTTTTAGAATAGGGGATATGAAACATACCAACATGTGTACCAAAGCTCAGATGAAGTATTACACAGAAGTTCAAAGGAGTTTCCTTTCATTTGTAAAAGGTGATTTGGAAAGCTCCATAGAGGAAGTGGCTCTTGAGCCTTTAAGTATAGGTAGAATCTGAAGAGGTGTAATTGAGGATACGGAAAACAAGTCATTCTAGCAAAAGAAATAATACAGGCGGCGCAGAGGCGGGAAAGCACGGACTGGTTCTGGGAGAAAAGCCAGAGTTCCAGGTTGGCTAGAGCAAAGGCCACCTGAAGCATGAAAGAATAAGGTCAGACTGGGGATATCACCAACACTGTGCCATGGGCAGAGGCCTGGGAGAGCAATACCGTCCAGGGACGTGGCCTATGCCCCCAGGAGCCAACACTCCCCCTGGGGCCCGCGCCCCTTCGCTCCTGCCCGTCACAGCTCCCCGGGTTCATGCCCCTTTCCTGGAGACGTCCCTGCCCGCCTCGTCCCGGAGGCAAGGGCCACCGCCAAGCCCCGACTCTCGCCCTCTCTGCAAGCTCCTAGGAACCGCCTCCACCGCCCAGGACTCACCACCCTGAGTCTGAACCGCCCAACGCGGCCTCAACGTCGCCGAGCAGTCGCCATCTTTCCCGTTTCCTGATCACCAAGCTGCTCCCCCGGCCGCGCTGCAAGCTGGGAAGGCGAGTTCCTGATGTTGGGCGGCACATGCCGACAGTGAGGCCCGAGAACTACCAATCCCAGAATGCACGGCGCGAACGCCGGTCCTCACGCCGCGTGGTCTGCTGGGCAATGTGGTTCAGCAAAGGTTTGCGTCTGCGGGAGGAAGAGTTTTCCGTGGGCAGGTTTCCCGCGTGAGGGCCTCCCGCTGCGCAGTCTTCCGGGAATCTGCTGGTCCTAGAAACTACAGTTAATGACTGTCGTGGCCCGTGGCTTATAGCGGAGGAATTTAAGGGCTTCTTTAGATATCTATAGCACGTAATTATAACTAACAACTGCAGTTAACAACAATGAATACCGTTTGTAGAAAAGAGTTTTTACAAAAATACTTTGAGATAGAATATTAGCCCCGCTTTACAGCTGGACAAAGTGAAGATTAGGTTACAGAAGAAGCCTAGTATTTAACAATGAGGGTGGTATAATTCTCCATTGTGCAGAACTATTCCAGGCTTAGGAGGACATTTAAGCAACCTTGGCCCCATAGCGAGGTGAATGCCATAACAACCTCTAGTTATTGTGACAACTCAGAATGAGCCCACACAATGGATTCCAAAGTTTTCCGGAAGGACAGTATCTCCTGGGCTCTGACACCTGTTTTCTCAACATTCCAGATGAGACCCTGGCTTTCTCAATTTCTTGATCTTTGGAATCTGGCCAGTTGTTGAGCTGTTTTGATATTTTTGCTTCTTTCTTCTTCCTGGTTCCCTAGTTCAATCCTCCACTGAGCTTTTTTACCCCAAGTCATATGTTCACTTTGTTTCTTCTTGGTCTTGTGGGCTCATAATTCTTCCCCTCAAAACAAACAAACGAAACACTTCAACTGCTAGAATGGTTTAGTTAACCAGAAGTATCTAGTGCCTCTCTTCCCATTTTTCCATCATCTGCTTTGTTGTCTGGATCTCACATGGATGTAGGTCTGGCTTTTCTCTCTGAATGTGCCTTCAAGTCTCAAACAGAGCGTCGGGATAGACTCAGATAATCTTAAATTCCTGAGCATCATGCACAATGGCCCAAAGTAACCCTAAGAGACACATGCTTCTGCTCTTAGAATTCTGCAACTTCTCACCTTCTCACGTCTACAGAATCCAGAAGGAACTGCGGGGGAAAAAAGTCTGAGGTCTATTGGGAGTAATCCACCAAGTGAACACTAGAGGGCTCTCCACCCACAGAATGGAACCCCAACTAACTATCAGACCCACGGTGGTAGGCCAGAATCTTTGAGCTGCAGTTAGTTACTCTACATTGAGAACCTAAGTGCCCAACTCTTGGCTGGACACTTAACTTACGTTATTTTACTTATTTCTCATAACAGTATGAGGTGGATATTACCTCCATTTTACTAATAAGGAGATTGTGACCCAGAAAGATTATGCCTTTAAAGGCCACATAGTTAAGAATGGAACCAAAATTCAACTTGCAGGTTCATTTAACTTCAGAGTCCATTTTCAGGCTACCATCTTCAGTGTCTTTAAAGATGAGTAAATTGAGATCCAGAAAGGTGATAAAACTTGTCCATGTTCGTAGTGGCAGAGTTCCTGTAGTACTTGTGCACACCTCTCTCATGACACACGTAAGACATTGAGCTTAAAGGATGCTTATTCGTCTTATCCCACTAGTTCTCTCACAAACATCTTTGGAGATGGAAACAGGGAGACTATGCTCTTATAAGGATCATAGGTAGAGACTCCTTTTTAAGTACAACATGCCTAGCAATAAGAGGTCCATGGGATTTTAGTTAATGGTGAGACCTGGTTTGAATCTTGACTTAATCACTTACTAGCAGTAAGTAATTGCTTGAGCCCAGGAGTTTGAGGTTGTAGTGAGCTATGATGACACCACTGCTTGCTAGCCCATGCAACAGACTGAGACCCTGTCTCAAAAACAAAGAAAGAAAACATATAAAGACCTCATAAGTGCCCCTGACCCATAGAAAACATTTTTTAAGAGATAAGGTCTAGACTGGGCACAGCAGCTCACGCCTGTAATCCTAGCACTCTGGGAGGCTGAGGCAGGAGGATAGCTTGAGGTCAGGAGTTGGAGACCAGCCTGAGCAAAAGTGAGAACCCATCTCTACAAAAAAATGGAAAAAATTAGCCAGGTGTGGTGGCACGTGCCTGTATTTGTAGCTACTACGTGGAAGGCTGAGGCAGGAGGATCGCTTGAGCTCAAGAGTTTGAAATTGCTGGGATCTAGGCTGACACCAAGGCACTCTAGCCCAGGCAACAGGGCGAGACTCTGTCTCAAAAAAAAAAAAAAAAACATAAAGTCTAGGCCAGGCATAGTGGTTCATGCCTGTAATCTTAGCACTCTAGGAGGCCGAGGCAGGAGGATCACTTAAACTCAGGAGTTTGAGACCAGCCTGAGCAAGAAGGAGAGCCCATCTCTGTAAAAAATGGAAAAAATTAGCCAGGTGCGGTGGCATGCTTCTGTATTTGTAGCTACTACTTGGGAGTCTGAGGCAAGAGGATTGCTTGAGCCCAGAAGTTTGAGGTTGCTGCAAGCTATGATGATGCCACTGCACTCTACCCCAGGCAAAAGAGTGAGACTCTTCTTCCAAAAAAAAAAGAGACAAGATCTAGCTCTGTCTCCCAGGCTAGAGTGCAGTGGCCCAATCACAGCTACTGCAACCTGGGCTCAAGCGATCCTCCTGCCTCAGCCTCCCAAGTAGCTGCAAATACAGGCACATGCCACCAACCCTGGCTAATTTTTTTTCATTTTTGTAGAGACGGGGGTCTACTATGTTGCCCAGGCTGGTATCAAACTCCTGGCCTCAGGGGATCCTCCTACCTCAGCCTCCCAAATTGTTGGTATTATAGGCATGAGCCATCGTACCTGGCCCATAGTAAACATTTAACAAATGTTAGCTATTATCATTTATGAGGTTAAATGTGAAAATGTAGGTAAAGCCCTCAGTGCAGTGCTGGGCACATCGTAAGTACTCAATACATGGTAACTTTTTATTTCTAGCACTGTACTATGAAACTTGGGAAACAAGAGCTGTAAGTCACTGAGGAGAAGGGAAGTTAAGGCCCCCGAGCTGCCATTAACAGACACTGGGATTGGAAGGTCATGAAGGCAGATGTCTCTTCTCTTTAAACTCAGAGGAGACTGGAACCCAGAAGCCTCTCCCCAGCATCGGCTTAGTCTGTCCACTAAGGGGTCCCTGGCTAAGTTTGTCCCCTGCAGCAGGTGGGATCTCAGCAGCTTGGATACTCTACTGTTGATTTCACCCAACTTTGTCTCTCTCCATTAGACTCTCCAGGGCAGTGGTTCTCAACTAGGAGTGATTTTGCCCCAGGGCTCATTCAGCAATATCGGGAAACATTTTTGGTTATGATATTGGGAGGTACTACTGCCATCTAGTACCTGCCAGATGTCAGGGATGCTGCTAAACTTCCTACACTGTATAGGACAGCCCCCCACAACAAAGCATTATCCAGGCCAAAATGTCAACAGTTCCAAGGTTGAAAAACCCTGCTCCAGGGCTAATGAGTTCTTTCTTGGCTTAGTAGGACTTGGCAGGGGGACTGGGGGAGAGGGAGGAGTTCCTTGTTGGAGGTGCTAGGAAGCTGTGGAGGCAGCCAATCTGCAACCCACAGAAAGGGCCCCAGGCCAGCTTTTCCCTCATTACCAATGACCAAACAGAGGAAGAAAAACAACAAAAAAAATAGAGTCAACTTCTTCATATGCGTTATATATTTCATTAATAAATAGGTTTTCTTCTTTAAACACAGAACATATAACATATTGAAACACTCCCCCCTCCCCCCAATTCCAAAGACAAGAGTCTATAAAACAAATGCCAGCTGTACTGCCTAAGGGCAGAAAAAGTCTGTTGACCCCCACCCAGCCCTGCCCCTGCAGCACCACCACCCCCACACTCTGCAAGAGAAGGGGGTCTGGGGCTTCTCCCTTGGACCCTGGGGACTTAGGTGAGAAGCATGTGAATGTATGATGTCACCTCTCCACGAGGCATGGGCTATGCAAAGATGAGGTTTCCTTCTTATTGGCTCTGACCAGCTCCTGCCCTTCTGGTTTCAGTTATGAAGCACCTGGGCTAAGCTCCCAAGGGACCTGCCTCTTGGCTTCCGCACTCTCCATTCCTCTGCTGCCTCCTTAGTGGGGAAGGGAAGGGCTCAGGGGCCCCTCCCATCCCCTGGCTGCATGGAAACACTGTGTGGAAGAGGCATGATGCTGAAGGTGAGGCTGCTGTAGGCCCCCAAGCCCATGAGGCCAGCATGCCCCCCGTACCCCGACACCTTTCCTTCTTCTGGAGTGGAGGGCACTGGGGCAGCTGCCCCCTCCACAACCTCGTGCCTGGCTTGGGGTATGATGGTTCTTTCAGTGTCAGGTCTTCATGCCGGGCCTGGCTCCTTCCTCATCCCATTCCTGTCTCCTTCCAAGCCCTCACCGTGGCCATCTGAAAAACTCATGTCCAGTGTCCTAAATTGTTTCATCCTCCCTTTCCCCGTGCCTCTGCACCCCAAGGGAGGAAGTGGGGGGCTGTCTCCCCCCTCCAATTCCCACTTCACATGATGGAACAGCTTTTGGCCTTTTCTTTCTTGAAGGTAGAAGAGATGAGTTCAGAGCGACTGGGGAGATGGAGCAGTCGTTTGGAGAGGCTTCGGACAGGGCTCTTCGGGGGCATTGGGCTAGGCTTGTTCAGACACACCATGGATGCTGTCCGAAAGATGCTGTGGATACTCTTTTCTGAGGTGAAAGCTGAGCCTTCCAGGTAGATTTCTGCACCCAGCTGCTTGGCTATCGCACAGCCCTGCAGAAGGAGGTGAGGTCATTAATGCAGTGGTCCAAAGTGGCTCTGCAACACTGCCTTCTATGTGCCACTCCCCAGAGCTACTGCAGATGGGACCCAACTGCCAGTCTCTACCACCACCCTCTGCCGATTAGTTTTCTTAAGATGATGCCTAACTGCACATTAGAAATCA